GAAGATAGCCCTCTACAACTTGGCACAACTAACTCGTCTGGTGAACCAGTACGTTCGAGAAAGGTGTCATTCCACGTCGGTGCAGTTGAAGAAACAAAAACAGACACCCAGTTGGCCGTAGACGAAGCTTGGACCGTACCACAGTTGAACCTGCCCCCGCAAAGGGTTACGCGTACCATGATGCAGGACTTCCATGACAGATCTGAGTATCCCCCGAAGTCGATTCCAAACACGTGACAATTTTTCTGGGAGCGAATGTTTTGGAGGCGATACTACAGCATGATGTACGAAGAGGTCGTCCGGGACAGGCGGTCGCCATTCTCACAGCCTTTGGCTGGACCCTTGCTGGCTCAGTCAATTCAGTCGTGAAACCCGAGCGTCTACATGTCATGCACGTACACCGTGTCCTGAACGTTGAGGAATCATTGAGCAAGCAAGTAGAAGACTGGTGGCAAACGGAATCATTTGGTACAAAGTATGAAGACGCAACACCCCGTTCTCGCGAAGACAAAAGGGCTCTTGAAACGTTAGAGAGAATTGTGAAACATGTGTCTGACGGGTATGAAGCCCGAATGTTGTGGAACGAACAAGACGTCAAGTTTCCTGACAACCGCCTCATGGCAGAAAAGCGACTGGACTCTACTGGAAGGAAACTAAAGCGTGACGAGAAATTTGCAAAGAAATACTGTGCCATTATTGACGACTATGTTGTCAAAGGCTACGCCCGAAAGCTTACACCCGACGAAGCATCTGTCCCGACTCCGAAACAGTGGTTTTTGCCGCACCATCCGGTCCGCAATCCCAACAAGCCAGACAAAGTCCGAATCGTTATTGACGCTGCCGCCATGCATGATGGAGTATCACTGAATGACAAACTTCGCATTGGGCCCGATCTTCTGAATAGCCTAGTGGGTGTGCTGTTGCGGATAAGAGAGCAGCGCGTTGGCTTGGCCGCTGACATCGAAGCCATGTTTCACCAGGTTCGAATTATAGAAGAAGATCAACCCGCCCTGAGGTTCCTGTGGCGGAACTTGGAGGTGCAGCGCCCGCCTGATGTATATCAGATGCTCGTCATGATTTTCGGAGCTGCGTCCTCACCGTGCACGGGAAACTATGTACTGAGAAGGACAGCTCTTGACAATTATGGAGTTACTGCATTTTTCACCGGAACGATCGAGGCCGTAGAGAAGAATTTCTACATGGATGACTTCTTGAAATCTGTGTGTGACGAAGCTACCGCAGTGCGAATGTTCTATGAGATGACCTCTCTCTTGGCACGCGGCGGTTTCAGGCTGACCAAGTGGATCAGGTCCTCCCGTGAAGTCTTGTCCCAGATCCCTGACCGAGAGAAAGCAAGCCCTTCAGTCGATTTTAACTTTGATGAGTTGCCAATTGAACGCACACTGGGCTTAAAATGGAACACTCAAAACTGACTGTTTTCGTTTCTCTGCTTGCTCACGTCAAACTCCCGAGTCAACCAAGCGTGGCGTCCTAAGCCGCATATCAACCGTTTTCGATTCATTGGGAGTGCTAGCTCCGTACATACTGCCCGCGAAATGCCTAATCCAGTCGTTGTGGCGTAAGAATAAGGGCTGGGACGA